AGATAACGAACATTATCCCAAGCTCGAAACTAGACTCTTTAATAAATATTTGCACATTAATATTTCGTTTTACATAATAACACTATATGCAAAGAAGAGGTGATGAGTACTTATATGAGTAGACTTTCGCTATACCGTAAAATCAAAAAAGGGTACATTATGCAATGCTGAAAGATAACACATTGAGAATCAGACGGCAAATGAATTTCAGTAATCTATTCTTAGCACTGTCCCTTACAGTCTTTAACACTGCATCAAACGAAGAATTATGGATTGCGAAGATTGTGGAGACTCTCGTCGGACAAGAGCTTTTATTGCTTAATTATTTCATAAACGTATCTAAATTTGTAACACATCCTCGCCATGGGACAGGAACCTTTATCTCTCAGCTTTTCTGTTTTAAGGATTTTGTTATCACATATAATAATATTCTTGGCCTTATATAAAAACAAAATTTTAAGATGAATGTCATGCAAGTACCATTATATATGTTATTTCTATTTTACTTCCGTTTTTTCCCTTGAAATTGTTTTAATATTCTAATACTGTTGAATGAATACTTCATGTTTTTTATTTTTTTACTTCAGAGTGAAAAGGACTTTTTCCTCGTCAAATTATACGAGTTCACTGAAATCTTAGATCGGGTATCTTTAAGGATTTCAAAGTAAAAAGAAATTATTTCAAATTATCCATCAGACCACTTCTCCACATATAGAAAGAGAAAGGTGAACGTATTTTAGGCTATGGATATAAACTCTCTGCCATGGTCTCAAGTAAAAACAGAAATAACTATATACTGTTCAAAAGATGAACTAAGGAACATCTTTGACATTCAAATGTGATGACAAAACTGCAATTATAGATGAAAAGGATCACAGTCCTTTGGAAGCGTACTTTATTTTCGAGGAAAATGTATACTATGACCTCTGTATAATGACGTCAAAACTATGGACATCTAAAGAACTGCTTGAAACATTTAGGTGATTAAAAACAACTTGCGGGCTATTTGCCTACTGGAAGAGATGCTTTCGAGGAGGGCCTTTTATATACGAGCAAATTTCCTCGTATCTATGTTACACATGGGAAAATCTACGGAAGCTGCCATGCAGCTGTTATTCAAACTCGAGTCTCCTTATCAGTTTTCCTCGACTTTAGCGCTGTTCTGTTGTTAACCCACTAATACAAAAAACGAATTTTTCACGATCATATAAATATCGAGAGGAAATGATACAGAGATCATTATTACTTTTATTTCGGAGCAGGAGAAGTGAAAAATGTAGAATGCTCAAGGCAGGAAACGAATTTCGGGCTTTCCGATGCTAGCTGGAAACGCTTCCGATTACACTCACTAAGGCACACGTTAAGGAGGGATAAAATCCAGCTGTCGTTCGGAACTGTAAAATTATTTATGACATATCCCTAGCTACAATATTTCCTTAAAATGATTACGCCTTAAATTTAATTTAAAATTACATTTTAGTGTATTAAATCTTTTAGCTTGAGAACGAGTTTTGTTATTTTAAAGCAGAAGTTAATTTTAATTATAAGTTATTACTTTGAAATATTCACATTTTGATTTTGATTTAACATTTTTCTACTTGTAATAAAACATGCTTGAATGACATTTCAAAGTTTAAATACATTCAAAAATATGTAGAAAGACGAAACAATCTTATTTATATTTTCTGTTTAAATTGTAATTTTTCACTGAATTCTTAGTGCTCTCATAAACGAAACACATATTTGTGCTTCAAAAATACACTTTGCCTTATTATGTCAGACTTTGATAACACCTACTGAAAGATAATTTCAAATTTTATAAAATGCTGAGGAAGTGCTTGCATACTAAGTATTGATTGTTTGTGTTTTCGTAAATTTCATGATACGGGTATTGAAGACGTATACTGCTAAAATCTGCTAAATGCAATTGCAGCAATATTGTTTTTTTTTTTCTACCGGTGACAAAATCCTTTCGAAAAGCGAAAATCAGTGGTTTGAGGAAATAAATAAAACAAAACAAAAGAAACATAGTTCATTCAGCCTACATGGTTTTTGCTACATCATTTTATAACTAGGCCAAAGGAGCAATTTGCCCAGAATTGTTTGGCGAGAATCTTTTTGGCATTTTGCGTTGTTTCACTATAAACAGCGAATCACTTTTCGAATTGTTGCCACCAAATATTAGAGCCTTGTATTATATTTAAAGAAATTAAATGTTAAAGAATCTGCATAAAAGTATGTAGGTTTCTCGCTTTGGGATAAAACAACGTACCTAGAGCCATTAAATTTTGAATAACGTAAGTCTCTACCCGAATATGGGCACCTGGAAGCCCAGATTTGGAATTTGAAATTTGTGTTATTATGTATTGCATATTTTGCAAAGCGTTTATGAGTTTTGATTAATAAAATCAACGATAGCAAATCGAGCAATGGCAACACTGTACGAAAAAAAAAAAAAGGATTTTTATCTCCAGCTCACGAGACTGTTTATCTGAAATTCTAAATATATACCCTTTTAAATATTTTATGATATTGCTGTTGAATTGAATTTTATATGGTTTAAGTGCAAATAACTTGGTATTTAATAAATAAATATAACACACAAAACTTTAAAAAACGAATCTTTGAGCCTAATATAAAATCTGAAAGCTTTCAGATTTTTTTCATTTATTATTGTATACAAACTATAATAATATGTAGACAGGAAATTTATAGTTCAGTTCTGTAGCAGAAAAACAAAACAAAGCACTGAAAGCTCCTTTTATGCCAAATGTATAATCATCAGTATTTATCATGGGAAAATAAGTTTAGCTCAAAGGGGCTTTGACCTGAAGGACTATTGTTTTCATTTTACGATTTTGCGTTGGTTCACTATAAATGTACGTTTCACTTTTCAAACTGTTGCCCCTACCAAATGTTAGAGTCCTGCATTATATTTGAAGAAATTAAATAATGAAAAATCTGCATAAATGTACGTATATTTCTCGCATTGTGATAAAACAACAGTACATAGAACAATCGAATTTTGAATGACGTAATCCTACTGCGAATATGGGAATGTGGAAGCTCAAATTTGAAATTTGGAATTTGTTTTATTATCGATTTCATATTTTGTAAATCTTTAAGGAATTTTAGATTAACAAACTCAAGGATTTCAAAGCGAGCAATGGCAACGTTGTACAGATAAAAACATTTTTATCTCCAGCGCGTGAGACTGCGTATACAGACATTCTAAAGGGATATGCTCAGTTTAAAACTATTTTGCGATATTGCTATTGAACCGAATTTTATGGTTTCAGCGCGAAAAACGTGATATTTAATAAATAAAGGTAACAGACAAAATGTTAGAAAAACGCCCCTTTGGACGTAATTAAAAATCCGAAACCTTTAGGATTTTTTTAATAAACTAGATGGATTATTTTTAAACAATTTGTTTTAATTAATTATAACATTGGAGTTAAATGAACTTCTTCTTCATCGTGTAATGACAACAGCTCTTTTTTTAGCCTGCAGTTTAATTTTCCGGACAGAATTGGACCTTTGAGAAGGGGGAAAGTTTTGCACCTGTAGAAAGTACTTAACAGTTTCGTAAATAACGTAAATTCAATATGGTAAATTTGAAAGCAGCTGAATAACAAATGTTTCATGAAAAGAAAGATATTCGTATTAATGACATCACATTATTAAAAATACATTTGAAGTGTTTTAGGTTTCGAGATAAAAAAATGCATTACATGTAGATTTAAATGTGATAAGTTCAGAATCTAGGGTAGTTTCCCCTTTCATGACAGTATTTGACGAAAAAATTGCTTTTATACATAATAATTACCCTGAAAGAAAGTACTGTTAATTCCCCTAATTACCAATTCTCACAAAATATAGTTCTCTGGGCTTCTTTTTTTAGCGCTGTTATTTTTTATTTCTTAAATTTTAGCATAATTACTTTAGACAAATTATGGTCGGGTAGTTTCGCTAATTAAGTTAATTAAATTTTTTTAATGGTTCTGAAGTCACGATCATCCAACATACACGAACGTAAACAAAAACAGGGACCAAAAAAATATCAGGGAAAAAAAAATTTGTAGAGTATGTAGCATTTTTTATAGTCTCAAATCAAAAGAAAAGCGATCTTTGTGCCTACAACTTTTAAATTAGAAAATAAGTTTAATTTTTTTCTTAATGCAAGGCAAGCTAAAGTTGTGTAGTTATTTAAGAAACGCTAATATTAGCAATATGGCTTCGAAAAACATATGTTTCTTAAGTTTCGAACTGCAGAGCAAGAAAAAAATCACGATGATAATTATAAGATGCCTGTTGAAAAGAATCACTACTGTAAGTAGCAAGTATTAACGGGCAAAAAAAAATTGGATTTATGATGATATCTTCAAAAAAAGCAATTACTAAATTTGCATTAATAAATTTTTTAATTTAACATATAGAAATAAATAAAATTTAATTTAAAACTGGCCGCATTTCATGCCTATATGTAGATAATTGCGATATAAGCTGCTTTACATATGTTATGATTCCGCGGTTTTTTTCAGTCAATCATTTTTTACACGAGAAATAAGTGAATGAGAATCGATAATCCAAGCACTAAACAGGTTTTCAAAATACTTAACGTGGATAATAAAACATTTGACACTCAGAATTATTCATTTTGTTTATTCATCTTAGCGGAAATTCAGATTTATTTCTAAGGAATCAACATGACAGAGGCGCCTTGACAACATCAGTTTACAAACAAACAGTGTAAAACAAAGAGCTTCCTTTTACTCAAATAACAATTTTCAATTGCTTGATTAATATGCAGATACTAATAAACCCTGATTGTCTAACAAATCGAATAAGCGAACGTATGACGCTCGCTGTGGTATGAATAGCATAGGAGTGAATGTTGAAACTGTCACCGACAACCACGTGATTTGCGCATGCGCGCAGGAAAAACTAAATCAGAACATTTTAGTCGAACTTTGAGAACTCGTGATGGGGACGTTTGAGTGAAACATGTTAATCCTATTCTTCTGTGTTACATATATATTTTAGTTTAGTGTTGTGATGTAAATTAAATATTTTTTATCTTAAAAGCCTCTCCTTTCTGTGAGTAGTGTGTAGATGTACTTAGGAAAAATACTCCCGGATATGCTTTGGAGAAGAAAGAAGATCGAATAAAAAGTAAGTCCTTTTTAACTTTTATATCCTAATAAATTATTATAATTATACAGTGAGAATTGAAGAATTAGAAAACAGAGAATAAATCCAACATTAAAGTTGCATGTGCATTTTGGGACTTAACGATAAGCACAAACGAAAACTAAACGAAATTAAATATACATATAATGGACGAGCAGAAAACTCCAAACTTTTAACTAAAGCTTAATAATGAATTACGACAGAAGCAGTGCTCAACAATGAATACTCACTTTGTGATAGAAAAACCGCACGCAGATAGATCAAAATTCGCCCATGCTTATATTGCGGAAGTAAAGGAGAGAAATGAAGAATCTCTTTAAACTTGTACAGGAGAGTGCGTTTCCGCCAAGCACTTACATTTTCTAATAAAAGACGGGGAAAAAAAACATTTTAATTTGATTAGATTACAGTTTTATATTTTAAATGTTCAACCTCTTGATCAACACTGAATAATATTAAAATTTTTCAAAACTGTGATAAAATATTCAAATGCAGTTTTAAATGACCAGCCGCCTTTATATAATCATTAATTCGAATTTTTTCTGCTTTTATTTTAATTTTCGAGTTTTTAAATCATTTTAAAGCCGATTCCATTTAGAAACAAATATATGGTCAGAGTATTTCTAAGAGTTTGTCATTGAAAGAGTTAAGACGATGCATTAGCATTTTGGCAAAGTACTTATTTTAAATCTCTTTAGCTATACATATAATGCCTTGGTACCCATTATTCATTCTTGTACAGATATATAATTACGCATTATAGTAAAATTAACTCATTCTTATTTCTATCTATATATTTAATAATATTATGAACGTAATGTACTTACAAGTTTCCATGGTAATTTAATACCATTAATTAAGATTTCATTAAAATGTGATTTCCTGCTTGCATGCATATTTTCTCCGATCTGGTTAATTACAGTTTCACGAAATTTTAATTATTGTGTAAACATTATATTTGTATAAAATGGCCAATTATTAGGTATTTAACGCACATTATTAAGCTTTTAATATAAGCTTTAGAACTTTAATTAAATTTGAAGCGTTTCGAAATTTCGGTTCGGCACATTTCATTGTCGCTACCAAAATTTTGATGATTATGCAAGCACCATATGATAGTATGCATCATCTGAAATTATGATCTGTTTGAATATATAATTATTCAGACTTGCAAACGTAAAATTATAAATATAGTTTTAAATTTGTTCATTAGTTTTAAGAAAGTAATACGCACTTATAGGATTTAAAATCTTTTGACTGGTTTGGCCGTATATTAACGGCCGAGAATCCTTTTTGTTACGTTCGTAAGAACATACAATAAATACGTGTATTTTGAAATCTGCCCAAGAAATTAAGCCAATATACTGAAAGTAAATCAATTCTGGTATAAAGTACCAAGGTCATTTCGGAATCAAAATAAAAAAACACCTATTTCTCATTGCGGGTTTCGGAAATTTGGGTTTTTTTAGCGAAACACCGTGTCACTCAGAAGATTAATGGTGCCTATATCTAAGATTTCTCAAAATAAAAATTTCCTTTTCGCCCAAATGATTTCTCTAAGCCCAAATGATTTCTCTAAGGTCAGTATATCAATAATTTTTGACTAATTGTATAAACATTATATGCGCATCAAATGACCTAATACTATGCTTTCCACAAAACATTTTAGAAATTCGCTTTAATTTTATGTTAAAAAAAATAATCTATTTTGAGATCTTATAAAACAAATTCTTTTTTAAGAATTATGTTTTGAACCTTCTTAAATTAGGTCGTCTTAATTCACCTAATTTTCATAATTTGGAAAAAAAATATTAGTTAAATTAACGACTTATTTGTTTATAATCCTGCACTGAGTACATATTACAATTTCATATCGATTACTAAGAAGCTATTTTATTCTTATTTGATAGGAAATGCTTTATAGTATGAAGCATTTATAAAATGGAGTAAAGGCAGTGAATACAATACCAGTTATGTAAAAGTACCTATACAAAATTTCATGATCATAAACCACTTAGTAATAAAGGTATTACACTTTAAATTGCGTTATATTTTTGGCATGTTTGAACGCTTTAAATGTACGTGACTCATTAAAAATGAGAAAACTCATTTACATGTCTTTTATGCCTAATAACTAAGGAAATTAATTTGTATTTCAATTTTCTGGATTCCTACTGCAATTGATAGAAGCGCTCCAAACAAACTTGAGAAAAAACGAACGACACACAAGAAAGTTTGTGTGCTTCAGAATAGTTCTCTTTAAGACGTGAAAAGATACCACTATGCTTTGTTGTGTCATGAATTTACTAAAATTATAAAGAGCGCTTTTCATTTATTAGCTTATAGGGGCAATTTGCTGAGAAGGTCTATTAATTAGTTTCGCCATTTTGCGTCGTCCGCTACAAATTGGCGTTTCACTTTGTTGTCACCAAGTATTAGAGCTCTGCATTTTATTTAAAGAAATTAATTAATGAATAATCTGCATGAATGCATGTATGTTTCTCGCACTGTGAAAAAATGACGGTATCTAGAGTCATCAAATTTTGAATAACGTAGTCCTCCATTCAAAAATGGGCATCTAGAAGCCCAAATTTGGAATCTGGAATTTGTTTTATTATCTTTTTCATATTTTATCAAAACATTAAAGAATTTTGGATTAGCAAACTCAACGATTTCAAAGCGAGCAATGGCAGCACTGTAGGGAAAAAAATTACCTCTAGGGCCCGAGACTACTGTATTGGAAATTCTAAAAATATGCTCTTTTTAAATATTTTAGGAAATTGTTGTTGAATTGAGTTTTCTGGATTAAGTGCGAAGAACATGATATTTAATAAATAAAGGTAACACACAAAACGTTAGAGAAACACGCCTTTGGACGTAATGTAAAATCAGAGCTTTCAGATTTTATTTTATTTAAATTTTTTATTTTGTTTATTAAAGGTCCATTGTACTGATTAATTACGTCATCAGAGTTATGAACTATGGAACTATATAAATTTAATTCGATTGGAAGTTTCAACCGTAAAAGTTACGAGGCAAATCATATGCATTGACGTAGTTTTAATTGAGTTAAATTTTAGTAATTAATTTTCTTGAGTTCGATTGCTGTTGTAAATTGCACAATTCTATGCGAATATATTTTTGATTTTAAATTTTGCTTTATCAGTGTTAAATTTGCATACAAATTTATCTTTCATGCGTATTTGCTACACTTCACATTTTTAACAAAAATATAATTTTGATGTTAGCAGTATCTGTAGTTAATTAAGTATTTTTTTTCCACTCTTGGTACATGATATTACGCTACCATGACACCATCATCCACGCGACCTGACAGGTGTTGCATTCCATGAAACATAAGGCTTTATGCAATGCATATCATCCATGAAACTTGGAAAATTGCCTTTCCTAATATTAGCATTCGATCTGTATAAGAACTTTAATTTCGCTTTAGAACTAAAATTTTGCACCCTTTAACTAACTGAACAATTTAAAATCACAATCTGCAAGTTTTATTATATCTTTGAATCATTTTGGCAATATTTCTAGCTTATAATGTATTTAATGTGAATGGTTTATACCCAGCTGATAAGTTTTTAAAAGTTTTAACTAATAAAATATATTCTAACTTCATATATTATGCAGCTTAATGCTCAGTAATCGATTGCAATGGGAATTTTAAGCCCCAAATGATCTCCTTCCTTTTCTTCTTTGACTGACAAAATTACAGATTCTATAAGCAAAATTAAATTTAAATACTTATAAGTAAGTTGAAGCATTGTAGAAAGTTAAATAAAGTGCTGTAATTCATTTATATTAAGAATAATTGATTATTATTCTTTCTATCAAAGATAGAATGTCACACATTCCATGTTAAAAGGAAGACAACAGAGAAATTTGAAGAGAATGAATATAAATGATACATCGAATGTGTAAAAATTCTAGAGCAAGCAATTTCCTTTAAAGCATTTTTGAACATTTCTGTCTAAGTTGGAGCTTTCATCTTGCCATTTATGCACACAATCTAGTAATTTCATGTAGATACCCATAATTAAGAACTTTAACTTTTCGTCTTTTATCTAAGCAGACAGCCTTAGTGTGCTCTACGTTAGTCAATTAATCAACTATTATCCATAGGATTTTCATAGAAGCAAATTTCTTGATTGGGAAATATCATAAAAGTATTTTAACTAAGTTGTTTTTTAAAATCAGAATTCCTTAAAGCATTTTCATTAAATAAAAGGATTTTTTTTACAAAAATATATATCGTTCTAACAAATATGAATTATAGCTCCATTAATTGAGTTAGCTCGGCTTTTGTTTAAAAGACTGCTACCAGTTAGCATCTTAATACAGTAGAAAATCAGATAAAATTTTGACATTACAGGACTATAACTGAAGTGTTGTAAAACTATGTTTCTATTTCTTAGGCCTTTATAAATGCATAAGTTAAAGGTACTTCGGTAAATTTATTTCCAAGAGTATCTGGACGCTGGTAAATTTCTAAAATATCGTAATGAATTTCGCATCCATTAAAGACCCTATCTGATGAGAGTTTAATTATGTAGAATGCTAACTGTGAACAATTGTGGCAGAATTAATTATTCTGAAATACAATTATTTAATAATCGGTGGCGTCCAGTATTGCATTTCACAGAAGGAATTTCATTATTTCGTGCTTTGGATTCTAGAGAAATACTTATCACGATATTAAAAAGAGATGATAAAGGGGAACGTTTATGCAAGCATGAGGTAAATTTAATTATTGTCTCTGAAAGCGATATATTGCGCATTTAATTGCTGCTAACTTTACCTGTAGTTGTATATTTAAGATAAATTGTAATTTCTATCGTTAATGGCAAAAAGTATGATGACAGAACCTTGGATGCCAATATATGTCTAGAAACTGCATTATCTGCTGCTGACTAAGATTTCGGATTTTTAAATGCTGATTTTAACAAATCTGAGTAGATCAAACCAAA